CTCTCTCTCTCTCTCTCTCTCTCTCTCTCTCTCTCTCTCTCTCTCTCTCTCTCTCTCTCTCTCTCTCTCTCTCTCTCTCTCTCTCTCTCTCTCTCTCTCTCTCTCTCTCTCTCTCTCTCTCTCTCTCTCTCTCTCTCTCTCTCTCTCTCTCTCTCTCTCTCTCTCTCTCTCTCTCTCTGTCTTTTACTGTCCATTTTTCCCTTTCTCCACCCATTTCTCCCTTAGACCAAATTCTCTCTTGCATCGGTCTTACACGGGACTGTAGTTCCCGTACAACCAGTATGGGTGCACAGACACAGCGCAAAGGAGCGCATACAAACACGTACAGCAAACGAGTACAAACGCTCGGATACGCAACGACACGGCGCACAGCTAGCTCTCTGCTAAAGCCCATTTCTAATCATCAAACAGTTTCGTCAAGTGAATATTGTTGATTGGTGAGAGAAAACCCAATACACCATGATTTGGAAGGCGAGTGTGCGGTGACTGGCTAGCAACATGACCGTTGATAAAGCCCATGTATAAAGGAACGGAATATCGCCAGCAGTTAATCAATCGTTTCGTTGCTAAAATAACATTCCTTGAAGGTCACAATTTTTTAACAAACGCTCGCTCCGTTACTCGCTCTTGTAGCTCAGAAACTTCCGACAGCGGTCCTATTCTGTACGAGATAGATGGCTTGAAATATTGATTACGCAGAATATTGACGATTTCCACATTATTTCCACTTATTGCGCGCTCATCAAACAGATTTTACTGTGAAACCTAACGACCATAACAGTAGTACATGCGACCGATCAATAACACTCAGCGTTCAATAGAAGCTTGATATAAACCTCAGATGTTTACTATAGATACTGGGGGGCGTTGTGCTGTTACAGTGCGTGGGATTTTATATTCCTTATATTATAATACCCTTCCCGTGTACACAAATAAACGAGGGAGTTGTGTACATGTTCTTATTCCCTCCCCCTGATACACAACCCCCCCCCCTGGTATACAACCTTCCCCTCCCCCGATAAACAACGAATGTGTGGCTGCTGAAAGGTCAACTACGGTTTACCAGCACTTTAAAGGTACGTGCGACGAATTTTGACCGCTATAAAAACCACAACGTGGCGATGACACTGACGGAGATAGTATGTGCTGACAAGATTCACATAAATTAGAGCGCCTACAAAATAGTTCATGATACAGTACAACCGCTAACAAGACAAAAAACCAAGTTTACATGTATCCTCCTGAAATAGAATCTATAGTGTAAGTCGGTGGGAAATGCAGCTGCAGACTTGCTAATAATAGTCTGGCATCCCGGCATGTTTAGAATTACAGCGCTCCTCTTCTCTCTCTCTCTCTCTCTCTCTCTCTCTCTCTCTCTCTCTCTCTCTCTGGGCCTGTGCATCGTTTCTCATTTCCTGACTGTGGCGAAGAAACTGGTACAGGTCACGTTTACACATGTAGCCTCATGATACAGAGCAATCCTCCACACAGACACACGCACGCACGCACGCACGCACGCACACACACACACACACACACACACACGCACACGCGCGCACACACATAGGAACGCACGCACGCGCGTGCGTGGCTGCCTACACAGCATGTGATCGATTTTATCTGTTTCTCCCATCCTCCCAACTGCATGCAGCCAATGTATGATTATGTACATGTGATACGGCTTCACATCATGTACTTTCGTGGTAAAATACTAAAGAATCATACGAACAAACAATGTACAGTCGGTGCTGGGGGGGGGGGAGTAATCCCGAGTCAGGCTGCCTGTTATGTATAGCGTATGAGTCAATACAATACAAGGATTTTTTTTAATGTGTATATACTAAGAATGCAATTTTAAAATGTGTTTAATTTGCAATTTGCGTGCTCTCCTGCTCTGAATTTTGATGTTTTATTGCGAATGATTCACACGAAAACTTGCGATAATTCTGCTCCAGCAATTAAGGGCAAATGAAGCTACTGCTACGAGTAAGCGAGCATTGACTTGGGACGCAGGGAAAAATGCAACGTGAATGTCATTGTAACATTATGACCAATTAGGATGCTAGGCAACGACTGACATATATCCACGACTTGCATACGATCTTCTGTTACATACGTTACAAACTAACAATACTAACTGATTCATTATAGCAACTCAACACATACATAAAGCACAGGTATAAATGAGTACAGTTGGCACATGAAAGATGCGTTTTACATCACAGCCTACGCATGCACATATTTCTATGCATGCGTGCGTGTGTACATACCACCACGTATACTAAGAATTGGATAACAAGTTGATAAAAATCAGTTGTATATATGTATCCATGCAGATTTTATGATTAACTCTATCTTGTATTCACAGCTCAGGGTGTTGTCTAATGTCTAATGATTTATAATTATGCTGCTTGGTAGCCGATATAGCATCACCGACACAACGCATGCATGTTGTACAAAGAGCCAGCTGCGTTAATAGTTAGTCATTGTTATTATATGCACGATGCCAACCAACATTGATCATCAATGTGTCCTTACTCTGTATTCACGACACGGCATGATATTGTTTACTGTAGTTTGTTGTTGTATATGTAGGCCACCATCATGAATATGTACACATTCTATTAACGGCTCAGTATAATATTGTTTATTGTATCCATATTGTGTACCTCGCTATACTAAGCACATCACTTCTATGTACTATGTACACCAAACGCTTCATAGTAGAATAGCATCAAGAGTAGATAACAGATAGCTAATCCATTCTTGATAGAATGTAAATATTGCCTGTATGGCAGTATCGTATGTAAGGCATTTGCTTATCCTCGTAACACAGACACTATAGGCTGCGTACATGCACTGTATCATGTATATTATTGATTAAGCGGACCTTTGCCTTGCATAAAGTACGATTAATATTTTAATGCAATTCCGTCGCGAAACAAAGAAAACTGTGTGAATGACCCTGCTCTCCGGGCGGGCATCTCGGCGGCGCGTGCACGCGCACACAGCTATAACTGACCATCCCAGCTGGCCACTAGCCATAATCACGCCCGACAGGTCAGCATGTGGTCAGATGGGCTAACAATAGCAGGTACAATAATCACGGTCCGTGGCACCAGGTGTCGTGAGCGAGTGAGGGAGGGACCGGCTGCAGTTTTAATCAGGGAGATCGTGTAAAAGAAGATCGATCCGCGAGACAATGCTACTGACCCGTGGCAAGCATTACCATTACCAGGGGAGGCAATGGTGCACTGACCACTTGTCCGTAATCTCTTTGTGCGCAAATATTACGCACGGCTACTGTAAATGCTGCGTGGGTGTCAGAACTGTACGCCACAAAGAAATAATGACATGTGAAGAAAGACTAGCCTCACCCTTTAGGCAGCGGCTATATGTTTTACTTTGCTACATTTTATATGCGCCTATATTATATATATATAGTACTGTATGGAATATAAAGGGTTACAAATCGTGTGCTGGGTTTTATTTTCACTATTTAGCATGACACTTCTGTATGATCTGACATGAAAGAGCTTGTATAATTATTATAAATGTCGAGCAGCATCATATTTACATGTCGATGACTAATAAACTAATAATTTTGGGCGACAACTGAATGTCAAACCCATCACTTTCACAATTATTTTGCAAAATTCAACAAAATCCCTGTGCTGCTTCTCACTCCTTGCCGTACTAGTTGGCACTAATGCATCACAAACCAAACTGATGAATAGAAACACTGGTGTTTGTTTTGCTACTGAAATTTTTACTTCAAATTATTTACATGCTCTTTATAGCCTTGTCTCTATTGTCTCTAGCCTTGGCTCGTTACAAGATCTCTTAACCACTAGAACCCACGGATAAACAATATTGTATTCTGCAAGTATTGATTTTTAAATTAGAACCTGCCTTTTGGTTTGATTTCCTGCTCAATAAAATGTGCACTTCCTGACTACACTTTTTATTTCTAAATTCTAGCATTATCAGCTGTAATTCTGCAAAAACCTTTTGTTTGAAACTGTCATAAAAGTAATAAATTCCCCTAATTAATCGTTGTAAGTAAAAATTCGACATCCTTTATAAAGATTTAATTAAACTACATTTTGCATTTGGAAATTTTTTATCCTATAAAACATGCACGGAAATCACTGCACATAGGAAATTTGTTCCTGCTATCGCATGAACATTTTTGTATGGATCATAACAAATTCAGCACATCATGAACATGATTATGCAAAAGCAAACTATTCATGTTAATTTCATAAATTCATTTATGATATTACCAAGAGTGCATGTTAAGAAAAGTAATTATTATAAACTTCTGATATTACTTGTATATCTCCAACCACTAGCGGATTAAGGGCGGGGCAACAGGGGCACGTGCCCCGGGCCCCCCACATTTGGGGCCCCCCACATTTAGAGTATCCTAAAATTTACAAAACTGTCGTAATTGTGATCCACAAAATTCTTAGCATGTAACGTTGAAGTGATGCGTTTCCCATATGCTGTTTCTCTGACTGAAGGACATGCACTTTCCCTAATACCGAAATTGCTCTGAGAATCTATCTTTCATTGATGGTCTCGAATTGTAGCGGTGAAAGGTCATTTTTAAAACTCAAGTTGATTAAAAATCACATGAGAACCACGATGAGCCAACAGAGACTGGTAGTGGTAAACCTGAGTATTCTCGCTATCGAAAGTGACATTTCAAATTCGTTGAAACACGATGAAATACTCTCTGAATTTGCAAGCATGAAAGTGCAGAAAAAATACAGACTATAGGGCCCCCACACAATTGCGTGCCCCGGGCCCCCCACACGCTTAGTCCGGCCCTGTCTCCAACCTAATAATAACCTACAGGAAAATATATCTAAATATCGATGTATAAACTGTGACGAAAGGTTCTGTGTTTTGTTAAACATCTTGGGCCACTGAGTATGGTAAAGGGTTAAAGGCATATATATATATATATATGTGTTATGACACAAAAAATAGTTGTGCAAATAAAGTATACAGTGATGCTGACTATGGGACTGCCAATGTTGAGAAGTGCATAGTCCCCTTGTATCTTGTAAAACTTACATACAATACTAGAAATTTGCATGACGGTTACCTATGCAACTTAATGCTTACTTTGCGGTTGGCATGTTTGCCAAAACACGCCCACCAGACCATGTGACGCTTGCATATTCTGCACTGCGCAATAACCCGGCAATAACCCTGTCGGGCGCACTACTTGTGCATGTCCAGTTTATTCCAAGGCCAAATCCTTCTCCGTAGATCAGACTCTAGAGAATGGTAACTCTACAGTAGGTATTAGAACTAGTGAAACACGCAACCCGAGCTCGTACATTTAAATACCGAAAATGAGTCTAGGGTGTTACATAGCTTTGTGAGTTTAACACATTTTGCTGCTTAATATTTCTACAATTAAAGTGCATAGCAAATTGGTTGTGACATCAGTGGACAATATCAAAAAGGGCACACACTAGTAAAGTGCTTTCAAATTAATTATATTGGGCAGCATCAGTCTCTCATGATGATCACATGTAGGTTTATGCGTAATCGTGCTACCATGATCAATCGGTCATTGGATTTTTCAATTGCGGTGAACATTAAGAGAATTCACATTCGTGTACAGTCAGCATATCTAACGTTTCAGTGCATGAGTTTGTAATGTCAATAAATATGTCCCATATGAATGTATAAAAGGTTTTATCTGAAAAGTAAACAATATTTATTCAGTGATCAATGAATGATACCTACCATAGTAGGAATTTTCATACATAATCCACACAATTCAATAAACTGTACATTTCAGAGTAAACAATGTGACAAGCAAATTTCATGCACGTGTAACACATCTATGCACTCAAATGTTGACAGTGGTATCTCAGTAGGCCAGTGGCTATGGTCAATGACCACACCACCAAAAAGTGCACACCTTAAACTTTGAATGTTGCAAGTTCAAATCTCAGTGAGGGCAAAGAATCTTTTCAAATTATAAATTCCTGGGTAAATGCTCGTATTGAGCATTACGTAAACAATTAATGTACTCCGTGTACATATCAAATTATGAATGGACTCATGAGAATAAGAAAACCTGCACAGATTGTTTAAGCTTTTAATTGAAGAATTTTAAAAAGTATTACTAAGTAAACTATGTCTGAACTGTCTATTTACCTGGAAATAGTTGCCATCTCCTCTCCCATCTTCCGGCCCTGTGAACTCAAATGTCGGTTGATTCGGCCCAAGGTGAGTGAATGTCTTGCCGGGGAGAGACGTGCTTCTTCGAAATTTCGACGGCGATATCATTGGCATGTGCTGGCCGCCCATCTTCTTCGTCATGGGGGATATTGGGTTGAGGTTTGGCACAGATCGCCTATTCACCGAATTCATAGACATCGTGTTGTTCCAAACCGGCGATACGTTAGCCTGTGACTGCGGACTGGACCATGTAGACTGTTGCGGATTGCTCCAGCTAGTGTAAGATTTGGTGGTCAAGAAAAGATTTGACTGCTGAGGTTGCTGCTGATGTTGCTGATGTTGCTGCTGTTGCTGTTGTCGCTGCTGTGGAAAGTTGTGATGCTGACCGGTGATGGCGCGTCGCTGTTGAGGAATAGAAGGAGGCTGCTGTTGTGGAATCTGTATCTGTGGGCCCAGAAGGCTGCTGCTGTTGAAGAGTGGGTTTTGATTAGGAGGAAAGTTCTGAAACTGCAGTGTACCGTTGACAGCTGGAATTCGAGGCTGCATGTAGCTGTCGTCGGCGCCTGTACCAGAAGACCAAAATCCGGGTGACGATGTCATAGCGTTGCTGGGTTCCGACATAGCGGCCATCGTTGGCAACGATGTGTTTTGAATCAACTCCGTAGCCCTCCTCTCTTGCTGGAATTGCACAGGGCTCGAACCCTCACTTTTGGACTTTCCCACCGACAGTTCATCAAGCGTCTGCTCTGTGTTGCTGCGTTCTTGATTCGGTGACAGCTGACCATGTTGTTGTTTCACACCTGGCGAATGACCAGCTGGTTTGTCGAGAAGCAGCTCATCTTGCATTGTGTTTGGGAAAAACAAAAACGTATTGTTGAGGTTGTTGTGCAAATCTGCCGGGGATAATGGTCTCACGTTCGAGTTTAGGTTGAAAACGTACTCCCCCATTAGATGATCGCTCGATTTCCTCTATCTGGACTGTTAGGCGACGAAGTTCGGGTGTTGACTAGAAAAACCTGTACGCCACGTCCGTCTCTTCCCTTCCTCGGCTGCAGAACAGCAAAATCGATGACGAACGATATTTTTGTTCACTGAATGTCATGACGTCATCAAAATCGATAGCACACAGGCGCAGTCAGTGTTGCGTTCAGTCCGCGAGAAGTTTCACGGATAGTTTCGCTTGTATGAGAGCTACGTGCGCAATATGCAAGACAAAATGTGCTTATTCATACTAAAATCCTTAGCATTCTTGCTATTAAACATGCATGCTCGCTGTATTATATTATTGTAATAATGCCATACGTAATTGACTCGAGACGAGAGTATAATAACTGATATTAGTTTGCCATGGAGCACTGTGGCATCTGACCAGAAATTTGCACGTACATGCAGTTACATTTTTTTGCGTCTTGCGATTCAGATTCTTTTTCAAACACGTTACAGTCAGTATTATAAATCTATATAGAAATATGCGACAATTTAAAAAGTAACAGATTTCTTTCTGTGCATTATTATGTATTTTTCATCGATATACGTTGCATGTAAGTTTTAAATCTTTAATACAATAGACTAGTAACCAAAAATAAGAAATATTATTAAAAATTATTTAATATGTATACAGTATAGTAATAGATATCTGATATCGCCTTTATGGGTTCCCGTCGATACTTTTTTGTAATCAACTGTTATGATAGGTTACCATAATCCATTTTAAGTAACAATAAAATTGTTACGGCTTAAATGTATTTTTTCGTCAAATTTACGCGATTAAGTAGCATAATGTAAACGCTAATAAAAATGTAATAATTTTATGAAAGCGTAATAAATTTTATTCTGTACCGAGAGGTGGCAGCACATGTATAAATGGCAAGTTGTGTTGTTGAAGAAGTAATGTTTGTGCAACCAATTATTCATCGAAATGGTGTGACGATCTTCTATTGAAATACGAAATATGACCGAAAACTCTTCGTCTACTTCTAGGGAAGCCTGCGAAATAAGAAGAACTTGCTCTGGTGATGATCCAGATAGGTAGCGTATTCTAATCTAATTCGGCAGTGCCACTGGCACTGGCACTGCCGCTGAGACTGAGAGGGTCTATGTCCCCCAGGCCCAGGGGCCAGGGTACTGCCGGAACTAAACCGACCAGGCTCTCCGACTGTTACACGGCGGAGGAGCCTGACACCCTTCCATACGAAATGCCTGGTAGCTTGAAAACAAACTCCGAATTTCGTAAAATTTCGTAAATAAAACAATGTATTACCACATTTGACCTCACCTGTTACATGTTGCAACTATCGCTACACTTCTTAATTACTATTTACCTCGAAATACACGTTAAAATAAGAGAATTTCGAACAGCTATACTATTTGAACGTTGTAAAACGCCATTCTGGATGTTCTTATGTCTCTTCTTGTACGCAAAAATTAACGAACTTTCGCTACGTATTATGGGATATCTATGGGAAAATGGCGGCGTTTTTTGAGTTTTATCTTATAAATTTATAAACAATTACTCGCTGACACGTAAGTACATGCTCAGTGATAGCGCGCATATAATAAATCGAGGCATGGAAGTACAGAGAAGCTGTAAGAATCATAAAAAGTTAGATAATTTAACGTTAAATAGCAGCGCACGTACTGCCAAACAAAATTCTTATGCGTCGGTTTGTGACCCTCTCGGCTCTCGCTACGTAGTGTTAAGCGAGATGGGAATTTGTGGCTATGCCGGAACTAGCTCTAGTTCTATAGCCCGCTTTCATTAACTGCCGCAGGGCTATAAAACATCTTGAACTAGATTTCGCAGCTACACCGGGTCCCGAAATGTTTCACGAAAAATGGCTCTCAAAACGCAAAATGATCGGGCTTTTTAACACTTATTTATCTACATGGACATCTCACCTATCTTTTTGAACACTTTCCACAACTTTACACCATGTATTTATGCATTTATTCCTCACAAGTCAGCACTACTGGCAATTTCGTTTGAAATGCTCTAGCGTGTGCACGCGTGACGTCACCCGATATGTAATAGGCTGCACCATAGCTGCCATGTGTTTTGTCTACATATCCGGTGACGTCACGCGTGCACACACTAGAGCATTTCAAACGAAATTGCTAGTAGTGCTGACTTGTAAAGAATAAATGCATTAATACATGGTGTAAAGTTGTGAAAAGTGTTCAAAAAGATAGGTGAGATATCCATGTAGATAAATAAGTGTTAAAAGGCCCGATCATTTTGCGTTTTGAGAGCCATTTTTCGTGGAACCTTTCGGGACCCGGTGTAGCTGCGAAATCTAGTTCAAGATGTTCTATAGCCCTGCGGCAGTTAATGAAAGCGGGCTATAGTACTAGAGCTATGCCGGAACGTACCCTGGTACTAAATACTACTATCTAATATGCCGGACCATACCTTGCCTACTCCACTAACGAGTCTAGGGAGTCGTCTACGCCTACTCCCTAACCCTAACCATATCAGCTAGATAGTTACCAGGGTACGTTCCGGTATACCGGACCGTACCCAGGGTACGTTCCGGCAGTACCCTGGGGGACATAGACCCTATGAGCGCCACTGCCAGCCTGCCAGCCACATTGGCAGACATCATCCACTTAGGTGACTAAGGTGTTCTAGTACGGGTAGCGATTGACTCGAACCTAATTTCCTAGCCGACTCTTAACCTAAGCCCCAAGTTATAACTGCTATTACAAAATTTTAGATAACAGAGTTTGGTAAATAGTTCCGGTCAATGTCAGATCGCTGAATAAGAGAGTTTTTGAAGATACTACTAGTACTAGTACTCAGTGTTCTCATTAGGAACCGGCCACCGGCCGAATTGACCGTCTACTCTGCTGTTTCTGCCGGTTACAATTGGCTCAAGTATATTTTTAAAATAATTATTTTATTTTTTATTTGCATTTAGTTTGCTCTAATTATTCTCCAAAGTGAAAGTGTTTTATGAGCTACTACTAATAAATCAGTTGAGTGTATTTGTATGCATGTTATGTGCACAAGAAGCATTGTTTTGTTTTTTAGTAATGCTATTTACATACTTGTCTAACTCTTATAATTAACTCTGAATGTACCAGGAGAAACAAAATTGGAAAAAAGGACCATACTGTAATCCAAATGTGTCTGTTTACTGTAGCTCAGAATACACCAGATTGCATCTCAGAGCATCTAGGTTTTAAAAAAAACACCGCCACGACCTGTTGCAAAAGCATTTCGGCCTGTTAATATAAAAGATAATAAAAACCCTGAGTACTACTACTACTACTAGTAGTACTAGCGTCTGTTCCTCGGCTGCTTGTAGCTACACTATATGTATACATGGAGTAGTAGAGTGTTGTGGTTTGCAGGAACATTGCTGTTTAAGGCGTGACTGTTAGGTTGTGATGCAGTAGGTGGGCACTCTAAGTGGTACATAGGTGTGGTGCAGTGTGTATTCGTTTTGCAGGAAGCATTGCTGGGTGTGCTTTGCGACAGAGGACGATGACAGACAGGCGGCGTGGGTGCGTCCGTGCCGATGCCGCGGCACGACCAAGTGGGTGCATCAGCAGTGTCTGCAGCGATGGATCGACGAGAAGCAGAAGGGAAATGCAAACAGCCCGGTGTCGTGTCCCCAGTGTAGCACCGAGTACATCATTATATATCCCAAGCTAGGTATGTTTCCTGTACAGACAGACATACCTCCTTATACATCCAGAGCTAGGTATGTTTCCTGTACAGACAGACATACCTCCTTATACATCCAGAGCTAGGTATGTTTTGTACATGGCAGACATACCTCCTTATACATCCAGAGCTAGGTATGTTTTGTACATGGCCGCACATTATTATATATCCCAATTTAAGTACATTTGGTAGATGGCCGCAAATTAGGATTTGTCCTAAGCTATGAACACGTACACGGGCGTACATTATTGAATATCCCAATCTAGGTACATTTTATACATGGTCTTACATTATTACATATCAAAAGCTAGGTATGGTATTATGCAGAGCTATATATATATAATTACTATATATCTGAAGCTAGGTATGTTTTGTACACATGTGTCATGTACCACTAATCTTAACCCAGTGTGTAGCTCGTATGTAACTGGCACCTCGTGCGAGATTCGTCGATATTATTTTATATTTATATATTGTCATTGTCATTAGCATTATATATTATTTTATTGTTTTTTAATAAATATTGTTTTGACTGATTTCAGGTAGCACTGTCTATGTGCTGGACCTTGTTGATAGGCTCGTGTATAAGGTGTGTCCATTTGTCGCAGCCGGACTCGTTGTAGGTTCCATATACTGGACAGCAGTCACTTATGGAGCCGTCACAGTCATGCAGGTATAACATAAGGGAAATTAATATGGAAGGCTAATAATTTCCATTGCAATCACTAAAGGTGCAAGTGTGAATGACCTGTAATTATGTCTGATATAATTATGTATATGATCATACTTGTATATAAGATTCTCGTTCAATTTTTAAAACAAGACAGAACACATGTTACGTAGTTGATAGATAATATTTTAAGCATTATCAACTCAGTATTAATTTAGCATTAATTAATGACAACCTGTTGTTAAATATTACTACACGATTATCCGCTAAGTTAATATGTAATCGGTATATATCCAATTCAACACAAAAGTAAAAGTCACATGTAAATTTAATTCTGCATCTATAAATATTAAAGGCACTATACTAAAGGTTCTATCAAATAGGTATATATTGTTCTATAGGTACTAGATACTACAGGTATATAGTGTTCTGTAGGGACCCTACTATATTTATATATGGTTCTATGGATTCTATGTTATTGTATCCACACTATTGCTGCATATTTCTGTATAGGTTCTATACTGTAGGTATATTTTTATACTGGTTTTGTATTATAGGTGTATATGGTTCTATAGGGTCAATATTATCGGTATATATATTTTCCTATGGATTCTATATTACAGGTTCTACACTATGGGTAGGTAGGTATTTTCCTATGGATTCTATATTATAGGTTCTTCACTATGGGTATCTATTGTTCCACAAGTTCTATACTATACGAATGTACTGTTGTACAGGTTCTTGGCCACAAGGAGGGTTTGAACGTGATGGAACAGGCTGACCCTCTCTTCCTGCTCATCGGTCTGCCAACGATTCCGATCACGCTCATCCTCGGTAAGATGATCCGCTGGGAGGACTATGTGCTGCGCGTCTGGCGCAAGCACTCGCCACACCTGCCGCTGCTGGGTCACCTCTTTCCAGAAGGCGCGTACAGGGTGCTGGCCCCGCCCGACGATATCCCAGCTTTCTCAGGTGAGAGACATCGCGTGCATGTCATCCATGTTATGTTATATTAACCCTTGTAGGTACCTAGATTATAGATAACACATAAGGCAGTGACAAGGGATCTCCAATGTTGTCAGTCCGCTGCCAGGACACAAATGTTCCCGTTATTTTGAGACTCACACTTTCACAATCTTAACCAATACTATGGTGCTAGATACATAACATTATAGTTGTTAATGTACTAGGTAGTACGTCCAGCATGACAGTTTCAGAGAAGTATCGTGTTATAGCTCTCGTTCGAATGATGGATCTTGTAATTGGCCTTCAGTTGCCCATCCGTTTTATCGTGGCATATCTAAACACTGTACTAGAGTCACCTCTGTACATCTGCATTCGTATAGGTGGTGTGTGTGTGGTGTGGGTGTGTATGAGCGTGCGTGCATGCGTGCGAGCGAGCATGTTGTTTGTGTGTGTGTGTGTCTGTGCGCGTGCGTCTGTTCATCCGTCCGTGCACGCATGTTTTAAGAGGGTGCATATTTAAGTAGTGTTATGTTTTTCTTCTTCTATAGGGCCGTTGTCAGCTACAAGAGTCATGTGTGGTGCCATGATTCTGCCAACTGTTGCAACTATCTGTGGGAAGATGATGTTCAACTCTGTACAGAGTAACCTTCAAAGAACAATACTGGTACACAAGATTTTGAGCAATACATAAATAAGTAGGCAGTAGGCATTTTGACTTTTTGCATGCCAACCATTTTAAGTTTTCATTCGTTATGCTTATAATGTTGCTATGGTAACCTGGCAAGTTAAACTTGACCAACTCACCAAGCCGCTATCAATCTATATATATAAAGTTGTTCAGCCGAATGTGTGTGTTCGCGCATAACTAGAGAACTCCGCAGCCTAGAGGAAAACTAAAGACATTTTCAGAATCAGCACGTCTGGGAGGTGGTTCTGGCTGAAAAATTTCAAAAAAGTAAAAAAGTAAAAAATTTATAAAAAATTCTATTCATCAATAGATATGGCGTACACATTAACATTATACATCACGTACGTGGGAATCCATGATGTATAACCATAATGGCCCAGTAGCCGAATGGATAAAGCAGGGTTCGTAGCGGGTAGGGTCTCTGTATACAGAGAGTTGCGCCAACTCAGGATTTGACGCCATGTTGTTTCCAAATGGATTCACACCGCTGCCGCTTAAGTACAGCGCTGTATGGATACGCTGTACAATATTCCGTAGTAATTAATTAGACTAATCGTGCTTCAATAAACTCAAAATTTACAGAGATTATAGCTAAGACTTCTAGAAATGTAACTCAAATTGTTCGCGCCATATGATAATTTAATTGTACACTTTCTTACGGCCATAG